GCCCCGGGGGCCCCGCAGCTGCTGGTGCGGCATCTTGGCACCCGCAAAGGTAACGGCACCGCCTCTGTCCGGGGCTCCGCAGCCCTCGTTGTGTTCCTTGTCCCTTCTGCCTCGTGTACGGGTCCGGATCTGCTTTCGGCAGCAGGCGGCTCTGGAGGAGCTTTTCCCACGGGTGTTGCAGTGCCCAGGACACTGTGGCCCTTCCCCGGGACAAGTCCTGGGGCAGGAGGTGGGGTCATCACAGTCCAGGAAGGAATTCTTCTCCATGAGGGTAGGAAGGTGCTGGGACAGGCTGCCCAGGGGGGCTGTTGATGCCCCATCCCTGGAGGTGTTCAGTGCCAGGTTGGATGAGGCTTGTGCAGGGGCTGGTGGGAGGTGTCCCTGCTCATAGCAGGGGGGTTGGAACCTGATGAGCTTTAAGGTCCTTTCCAACTTAACCATTCTATGATATATTCTGGCTTATATGCTCAACCACTGAGCTTTCAAAACATGTAGAAATACAGTTGCTTCAGTTCTGGCCTCAGTGCTGAATCTAACAGGGGATTTAGTGTCTTCTTTCTAATGCAACAAGTGTTGGTGGAAACAGAAATTAATGTCCAGTGTAATTGCAGCTAAAGGCAAAGGGCAGAGTCCAGCCAAGGTGAATATCAGTGCTGCCCTCGTTGAGGATATTATCAATTTGGAGGAAACCAATGAAGACATGCAGGCAGTGATAGAAGCTCTCAAAGAAGATTTCAGCAGAAACCTCAGTGTTAGGACCTCACCAGGTTGGTAACTTCCATGAATGAAGCTCAGCTGCCTGTCAGTAAGGATACCTGTCCCAGTGGCAGAGAACTCTGATTTTATCCACATTGATTTTATTTTTTATTAAATTATTCACTGGGCACCCAATTACTCCAACCTCAGCATCTCCAGCCAAAGACTTTCTTCACCCTGAGCTTGACCAGGAAGAATCCATTTTTGTTAATAGTTTCCTGGAAATAACTTTTGTAAGTGGGAGATGTCAAAAGCATCTAACTGAACTGTTTGCAGATGTGATGAAGAAGCAGGTTGTCAGCTAATGGGGCACCAGGGCAGGAAAAATCCAATTGCCATTAAATTAGCCTTTTGGAAATTGCCATCAGGCTGGTGTCTGGCATATGCAAACTTTTTTTGCTGTGTGTCTTTGTGGTTAGTGACCTTGACAAGCCTTGTTCACATAGTGAATTTTGTGTTTTAGGAAAAAATGTGAATATATTTGACTAAGCTACAGTTACTATAACACCCTGAACATACATATTTGTAAGTAGTATCGAGTTTCAGGGATAAAATTTAACATTAAACAATGACCAAATCCGAATCATTCACCACCCCAGCTCTGGCAGGGGCACTTCAGGCTTTAATGGAGTTGGAAAGTGTAGCTCAGTCTCTTAACTATTTATTTTAACCATAGGTCTTTTTTTTTTTTTGAATTGCACTGATAAAGTACCTCTTGTCCCATGTGCCTTTTGGCCTGTTAACGTTTTGCAGCAGAAACTAGAGAGCAGATTAAGGGTAGGCAAGGGAGAAACTGAATACTTTAAATGAGGCAGAGTGCAGCATCTCCTCTTGGGACTTGGAGGGAAAAAAAAAGAGGGGTTTAAGAGAACACCACTAAGTTAAAGACAATACTTGTCCTGATTTTTATAACAACATTTTGATTTTCTTGAAGTCCTAAAAATTAAAAGAATAACTGTTTCCTTTTCATTCTTAACAACCTTGCTTAGTTTTCCTATTCTAGTAACAAAAACAAACGAGTTTTGTTTTCATGTTTTTGTGCCTGGGATCAGCATTGGAATATTTAGCCCCAGATACCACGGGGGATGCACGAACACAAACAGCACCTGAGGGCTGAATAAACACCAGTTTTTCTTCTTTTGTAACCACTGTACTTTGCACACCAGAAGGGAAGTGGGACACTGTGTGCACGTTTTTCTTCAGCGTCGCTGGGAACTGCTGTATCACACTGAAAGTGCCCTGTGTTTGCTTCTTTTGAGGGGCCCTTGATCACATCGTGGTGGTGACAAAGGACGGGAAGTTTCCGCTGAACCAGCTGGGACAGATCTCACAGAAGTCACCACAGCTCTTGCTAGTGAACATGACCAGTTTTCCAGAGGTAAGGACACCTTACCAAAGGCATTGCAAGGGGAGATGATCCCCACAGGAGCCAACAGGTTGATGAGCAAAGGAGCAGTCAGACAAAATGAGTCAGGCCTGGCAGGGTGCAGAGCCCTGGCTGGGCTGTGTCCCCTCTCAGCTGACGCAGCAGGAGCAGAGTTTGCTGCTGACTGCACGGGGTGAGCAACAGGTCTAGGACAACTCTCCACCACCAGCCATATGGTAGGATATCTCTGTGCCAGGACATCTCTGCAGTGGTTGGATTGAGCTGGGATGTGCTCGGGGGTGTCCCAGGGCACAGCTGAGCTTAGTGAGCTCCCTCCTTAGCAGCACATGCAGATCAGAACCCAGATGAGGTGCTTTTACCTGCCCTCCAGAAGAGCCAGCTTCTCTTCTTTTTGTGCAGGAACCGTAGTTAGATTTGCCCCTGACCAAGTCAGCAAATGTGAATCCCACCTCAGGTCCAAGCTCAGGGCTCAGCAGTCAGAGCCTGGCAGATGGGAACAGGGACAAGCTCAAGGTTCACTATTCATCCTGCTCCAGGGCTGGAGCTTTGCCAAAGCTTATCTCTATTTATTTTGCAAAGGCTTTCCCCAATTAATTAAGTCAGCAAAGTTTCAGAGGAGGTCAGTGTAAGGCACTTGATACCTAAAGTGTTTCTTAAAGTGTGTCCAGGGTGTATAAGGGCTTTGGAGAGTGAAAGCCCCTTCTCCACAGGTCCTGGGGAGTGCCAGAGCATGGAGGGCTGAGGAAGCTGCTCCATGACTTACCCCATGTCCAGGTGGGAGCTCAGGCTGAGAAACAGGCACGTGAGAAATGTCACTGTCTGTACCATTGCCCACAGCTGCATTCTAAGCCAAGGGACCATTTTTCTTTTCACTTAGAGCTAAAAGCATTCAGTGATTTTATATCATAGCTGTTCCACAGATAGATGGAACTCCTCAGGACCATTGCAGACACCTTTACTTGATGTCACCATTTACAGCAGTTGGTGCTTCATGACAATGAAAAGCAAATAAAGATGCCTGAAGAGTCTGGGAAAGAGAACAATTACAGAAAAGGACTTGCAGGGCTGAAATCTGTTTGCCCAAGAGTTACAAAACCAAACACTTTTTTTTTTAAGCACAGCTCTTTGTTTCCTGGGCTGCAAGAGGACAGGCAATATCAGGCAAAATATTGCAGCATTTTCCCTTTCCTGTATCTCCTCCACTATTTATGTTAAACACCACAGCTTTGAGCATTTCCTTCCTTCAGAGCAAGCACTGTCCATAACATAACACATTTACATTCCTAAGGTGCTGAGATCATCTTGGTTACATTGTCCCTGCCCTGTTGTGTGTTAGAGGACAGCAGTTGTGTCTGACACTGGCAGAGCCTTCATTTGCTTTGTGATGTCAGGTGCCAGAAACCTAAACAAATACACAGTTTGCCTCAGTTGACAAAAGCTAAACTTCACAGATGCTGCTGCACCAGCCTGGAGCTAAAGTTAAGGATGGGGAAGAGCAGCAGAAATAGCAACGTGCCACGTAGGAAATGCCAGGGAACAGGGACTCACTTGGCCTTGCTCTTGTCACTGTGAGGAGCGAAGCAGCTGAGCAGAGCACATTAGCAAAGCTGGGGTGTCTGGGGGAAGGCTGACCCTCTGTGCAGGCACATGGGTGCCCTGGGAGGGGAGGAAGCCCTTTCTCTCTGCAGTTATCAGGCAAACCTGCACACCCACCTCTTGAGCAGAGCAGTGTCAGTCAGTGGTGGTGGAGCTGTGAGAAGTTAATCCTGAGTAATAAGCTGTAAAATAAACACAGAGCTGGGCACAGGCACTATTGCTCAGCCAACTGCTACTGCCCTGCTGTAATGTGGTTAGGTTGTAGTGCTGAAGTGGTTAAGTTCGTTAACGTTTCTAAATTGGCACTGGGTGATTTCTAGTGGGAAACATTCAACTGGAATTTTTAGATGCTCAGAATCTTTCATCTCCTTCACCACAGCCGGGCTGTGCCTTGGGAGGTTGTTGCGGTTTCACTCTGCGTTGCCTCAAACCATTCAAATAGCTTTCAAAGAAGCAAAACAGTTTTCTTTTGTTGTTGCTTCCCTCCTCTCTCCCCCCTGGTGCCCCCATACCCCAATACCAAGTGCAGCCCTAGTTTCCCATTCGGTTTGATCAAAGCTCTCTGCACCAATGTAACTTCCTGATCTTACTGGTAACAGAAGTAAATGTTTCCATGTTCTGTGGAGATGGATTGCCAGCTATTGACAGAGTTCTGGCATATGGGAATGATTATTTCCTAATTCCCTTACCTTTGATCTGTTTCACAGAGCACAGCTGCAGCTACGAAGGCTATAAGGGAGAGTGGCATGAACCTGAACCCAGAAGTGGATGGGACAATAATTCGGGTGCCAATTCCTAAGTGAGTATTGGTGGCTGCCTGAGCAAGGGTAGGCACCAGGTTGCAGTGAGTGCACCAGGGCTGTAATGTTGTGATGCAGCTGCTTTCCAAACAGCTGTATTTCAGGCTTGGAAAAACTTTAAAAAAAAATAATAATCTTGAGTCTCTAGAAGCATCTGGTGGAACCTCTTCCAAGTGTCTGAGCTCTCAGTCACCACATTTTGGCATCTGAAGGTTGGTCTTATTGTTCTTACCTTACTCCTGCAGAGGAAACTGGGTCCTCGCTGGCTGCAAGAGGTGGCCAGAGGCTTTTGGAGCTGTATTGGCTGAATTCAGGGGCTGATTGTTTGCTGCCCTGCTGTAAATTCCTTCAGTTACACCAGTTTGGGGCAGCATTAGTAGGGGTGACCAGCACCTTGCTGAGGAGAGTGATGAAAGAGAGAGGGAAGAAATAATATATTTGGCTAAAAAACCCACTTCCTCTTCTCCTGTAATACACATGGTGTAACTGATGGAAATTTTTGTACAGGGCTGTTGGAAAGCTGGCTGCCCCTGGCCAAGGGCTGAGCATTGCTTTGGCCATCCCAGGTGTCCCCCATCTGGGGACAGGTCCCTGGGACCAGGCTGGACCTGATGGGGAGCGAGACCTCCCAGCAGCTCCACAGGGGCTGAGCTGGTGCAGCCACAGCCTGTGCCCAGGACAGGAGTGCTGCTCTGCCTGAGGTTGGCTGGTGCAAGGAAAACTCAGGAGTTCTGTGGGTGCTCAGACCCCACAGTGATGGAGCTGATACCCTGGGCAAATGCAGATCTACATGATCTCTGGGGTACCTGGTGCTGGGGAGCTGCAAACAATCCCCACAAAGGGTAGAGGCGGCTCCGGATGCTGCCCCCTCACACCAGCACCTCCCACGTGCACTGCCCTTCACAGGCAGGTGACTTCTCTGCAAAGATGAAGCAAGTATTTTTCATACTTTAGATCTGCTGTAAAAATTGTATGGAATTTTATCCAGCATTTTGATCAGAGTAGTCTAATTGCAGCTTTCCGTTGCTGTCGGGGAGAGGGAACGACATTATCATTCTATTTGCTGATTCTCTTTTCCCCGTGTTCCCTTCCCCCATTCCTCAGGAGAGGAGGAGGAGGGCACCATTATCTTCATAATTGCTGAGGCTCCCGGGTTGCTGCACAGTGGTTTGATTGTTAATGGGCACTTGGGTCATCCTTGAATACCAATTGCAGGGGAGGAAACTCAAAAACTGCAAATCCCGATCTTGTAAAAAATACTGTTTTTTAAACAAACGTGCACAGTCTGTCTCTACCTTTTGTGGTGCTGCAGAGGAAAACATGGGTCTGCTCTTTCCAGACAAGATCTACTTGGTGTGTCCTCGTGTTCCTCTGGTCTGTAAGGGTTGCTGGTCCCAGCCCAGCTCCCCCTGGCTGGTTGGCAGCCCAGGGAACCCCCAGTTCAGGAGGTTTTGGGCTGGAGGGACGTGCCCTGCAGCTCAGCCCATAAGTGCTCACCTGCTCTTTGCTTACACAACTGAGTCTGTCAGAGTTTCATCCACTCATCAAAGAGACAAGCAGGAAGTTTCAACCTTTTAAAGCCTTCTCATGCAAAGGAGGGAGGAAATAATCCAATTTTGCTAGAGGCCTCTCTTCAGTATTTTACCCCTGCAGTACTTTTTCTAATTTTCTGGAGCTTTTCGTTTTTCAAACTCCAAGGATGTGTACAGAGGAACAGAGACAGATGCAGGGGAATTGCCAAAGTGATGGCAGGTGTGCAAACTGAGCACACAGATCTGACATGAAGATGCAGTTTTTGCAGAAATTGATTCTTTCATGAGGGGAGGCACAGCACAAGTAAAACCAAACCTGAATTGTCCTTACCTGCCTTTAAAATCTCTTAATCTGACCTACCAGCTGGACACATACGTATCATGGTGTGCTTGAGGCAGATCCAGCTATGTTGCAGTGTTTGAGTATTTTAAAATGGAGTTTACTTGTCAGTATTTATTCTATTAGTTTAGGTTTTGCATTGCAGCTTTAACAGAAAAAAATACACTCGTTTCTTTCGTGTTTACTTCTGCTTCCTGCTAGGATCCCTTCTGCTCCCTCAGGCATTCTCCTGTTTGTGTTGCCAGCACTGCACAGGCAATATTTATTTGTATAAAAAGTATTCTCTGAGGGTTTAAAAAAAAAAAAAAAAAAAAAGGGAAGAAAACCAGCCATGGGAACATTTGCATTGGTTGATCTCTTGGCCGAGTCTGACCTGACCTTGTGTCTTTTGTGGTATTGCCTCAGTTTTAGATTCATCTTTTTTGGACCCATTGTGTTACACTGGATATTGTTTGTAAATTAGTAATATTTTTACACATGCTTTACTGAAAGCCAGATGACTCATTTGAAAGTTTAATGACTCATTGTGAGCTTTTTTTTCCCCTTGCCCTTTAAGAAATATGCAAAGATATCTACTATGGGGAGAAAGGACTCAAAAAAAAAACATCCCTTGGAAACAACCCAAAGCTGTTTCTGAGCCGCGCTGCTCCAGCCTGCTCATCACCAGGAGCCTCTTAAATGTTTTTTTGTTGAGTAATATATGTTGCACCCTGTGTTTATCTGCAATTATGCATGCAGAGTATCTAGTTAAGCCTACTTTCCTCTAGCTGATCCCTCTCATTCACAGGAAATTCCTAGCATTTGAGATACAGAAATTATTCTTACCCGCATAAAGGCGCTGGAGACGAGACGTGGCCACGTCCTGCTCGCTGAGGCTGCTCCTGCCTGGTGCTGCAGCACCCAAGGTTGCAGTGTCACACCATGGCTGGCTGGTGGAAGGAGAAAAAGAGGAGACATTACCCAGGGGTTTTTCTGAACACCCACCAGACTCTGTCCTCATCCCAACACAGCAAGACCAGCCCAGGGGAACAGCAGGATTTGAGCTGGTGGCTCCATGAGCTGCAGGGGAAGGCAGCATTCCCCAGGGAAGAGGGAAAGGAATGACAGGCAGGGACCTTGGCCTTATTCCCCACTGCTGGCACCCCTTCCCCAGGTTCACTTCATGCTTTTTTTAGCTTTCAAGAGAGAGATAGGGGCAACAGTTACTAGACAGAAAAGAAAACATATCTAAGAACAGCTTAGAAGTCCCAGATCTGGGGGCAGGATTAAACAACTGTCCTTAGAAACCGTGGGCCTGGCTTGTGTTGATGGATTCCTTAACCAGAAACAGCATCTGCTCGAAAAAGTGTCCGTTTCTGGCACTGTTGGTAGCATTGCTGAGAATTTACACACAGTCTGGCTGGAACATAAAACCCGCTGAGAAACTCCGCGGCGCTGCGCAGTGATAAAAAGAAATTGGTGTTAATAAAGACAGACAAGGAGGCATGAAAGCTGTGACCCCGTGCCAAGAAGCATAGGAAATCTGGCAGTGCTGCACAAACAAAAACATTTCCTTAAAGGCTCAGCAGCCCCAGGCAGGCCAGTGATACCCTCGGCACAGTTTGGAAAAGCCGCCGAGCGGGGCGGGAAGGGCTGGGGGGACTGGCTGTCCCACAGCTGAGCAGCCCTGCTCCCTGCCTCGCCACCCAGCAGGAGCTCCCTGCTCCAGGGTGAGCAGCCGGGACTGACTTCCCGTCCCCTTGAAAAAAAAAAGCTGCCTGAGAATCTGACCTCCCCTGGAGCTCTGTTTGTGAGGCAGCTCTGCTGGCTCCTCAGGACTCTGGCTGGGAGATTGAACACGAGAAGCCCTGAAGGCTCCGGGGGTGGATGCAGAGGAGGCCACGAGAAACCCTCTGGCTTCTCCTCTGGCGTTGGGTCCCGGCTCCAGCCGGTGCCTCTGCCGAGGGGGGGTCTCAGCTGAGGGTCCCATCCTGCCCCCACAGCTTTTCCGTCACAGGGCAGGGCTGGTGCTGCCCTGGGAGCCCTCGCCCCACGTTTCCTGAGCTCTCTGCAGGAAGAGTCTTGGCCTCAGTGTTTTGGTGACCTGGGCTGTTGCAGCCAATTTCTAAATACTCCTGTGAAATGTTTACTTTGCAATATCTCTTGCTGGCCAGTCTCAGGGAGTGCACTGGGGCTTGTCATTCTCAAGGAGGTCTGGAAACTTCAATAGCCATGAAAATAATTAAAATGTTATTGTTAAGCACTAGGAGTTGGTGTTGACAGTGATCAGCTGTAGGTGCTGGAGCAGTACCAGAGCTGAGGTGACATGTCAGCTGCTCCTGCACCTCATTCAGATGGTCAGACTCCCTCATCACCTGCAACTTTCAGTCTGGGATGGGAAAATGAGGATTTTCTTGTGGTACCACAGCAGTGACACCATGTCAGGGGGAAGGTGGGGCTGGAGTTCTTCTGGGGCAAGTTACCTGGGGCCATGCACTCCCGAGCCATCTCCAGCATCACCATCATGTCAGACAGGGTGTTGTTACAGGTCATCTTGGGGGAGAAGCCTGGTCATGATGAGCTGGAATAAGGTTGAGTGAAACAGAAGCCTGGGAGCTTCCAGATATATAACTCAGCTCTTCAGTTGCAGGGAGATGATACTGAGTTTCAGGAAGGGCTGGAGGTTTCCTCCTGGCTTTTCAGGGTTACACTTCTCAGCTCCATCTTTCAGGTCTGGAGATGAATTTTCCTTTTATCCCCAAAAAATGTTTTGGCAGCAGAAAAAATGAAGTCCGAAAATTTCAGCCTGACTTTCAGGCACTGCAGTGTCACTATAAAACAAGTAAGATTCAGTCCAAGTCCCTCAGCTTAGGGCTGTGCTGGGAACCTTCCATTCTAGGTTCAGGACTTGCTTCCTGGCTATGTGCTGCCCTGGCCACGCTGCACAGAGGTGGCTGATTTGCTCAGGTGAACCAGAGCAGGGTAAAAGCTCTTCCTGAGCTGTCAGGGCAACACAGGACCTCCAGAAGCCCAGTCAGCACAGGTGGCTTTTGGGTGTCCCTGCACAGCCCAGCTGGGTGCTGCGTGGCAGCTCAGTGGCCTCTCACCCAGAGGCCCTCACACAAAACATTTGGTTGTGCCACATATGACACTGCTTTTCCTTCTGGTGGCTTTTCTTTCCCCTCACTGCCAGGGTCACGAGAGAGCACAGGGAGAGCCTGGCCAAGCTTGCCAAGCAGTCCACCAACAAGTCCAAAGAGGCCCTGAGAAAGGTGCGAAGCAAGAGTATGAACCAGGTAAAGAAGTCCAAGAGCAAAGTGTCTGAAGACACCATCTGGCTGCTAGAAAAGCAGGTAAGGTTTTGGTTTTGCTTCTGCCACATGGTGATGTTTCACAGCTCAGTGTTGCTTTTGTCCCAGCCCTTGCTGACAGATCTCCAGCACTGAGAACACAGCTGGGGAATGGGTGGCCCTGGCATGAATTTTTGGAGTCAGCAATGGCTGCTGTATTTGCTTTTTCTTTGTGAGATGTGGGGCTTCAATCTTAAAGCCAAATGTGTGGTATGAACCATCACAAGCTGACACAGGAAAAAAAATAATTAATCTTCCTTGAAAGCTTTTGTACTAGGAGGGATTGTTGCACAAACCATCTGAACTTGGGGAGCAAAGCAACCCATGTCCATGGCTTTACCACCATTTACACAGCGCCTGGTCATTGCAAAACAGCTGGTGTTAATGAGGCAGCTCCAGTTTGTTATTAATGAAAAGGCTAAGCAAGATTATCACTGCTCCGAGGTTCTGGCTTCGATTCAGGAAAATACTTAAGCACATACCTAATTCCCTGAGAGCAGATGTCACTAAAGTCAATTACTTGGGCATAAACTCAGGCACAAGCCTAAGTGTTTTGCTGAACTGATGCCTCTGAAGGCAGCCCATTACTTTATAGCTGTTTGTTTATTAACAGCTAAAGTTAGATACATTGCAAATGCTCTGGGACAGTTCTCCGTGTGCTCACAAAAATAAACATTGATATACAGAGTGTTTGTGTGAGCTGGAAAAATGGCCATTCTATTGTAACTGAATCCTGTTGGGAAGCAGTTCTCCCAGAGCAGACAGATGGTTTTCTGCATTTGTAGAGGTAGTGTCTCAAGTCTAATTTTTGCTTGTACCCAAATTTTTCAGCATGGGGAAGGTCATCACCATGCAGCTTGGAGCTGGGGAGTGAGTGCATCTTAATCAGTCCTGTGGAGCTGGTGCATAACCCCTCATGTGCTCCAGCCTCTATTTGCATTCACTCAAATAAGCACAGCCTGGTTTTGGTCCCACTTACAGGCTTGCTGTGTCCGCACCTTGTTACCAGGAGACCTGAGCTCTGTGCAGGGCTTTAACAATCACCTTTTTTGGTTGGTTGGTTGTTTTTTTACAAGAACTAGAGCTTTGTTACTCGATGTGTGAACACTTGTACTTGCTTGTACTGAGGCTCTGCTCCTGCCATTAGCTTATCTGTTGTGGAAAGGTGGCAGGAGGTAAGGAGATGAGCCCTCCCTTCTCTGGTGCTGACACCAGCAAGTCTCTAACTGCCTTCCCCTGAAGTTGCTCTGTTAAAACAGGAGCTGACCAAGTCACCTGTGAAGCTCAGCCAAGAATTCCTATTTGCATCTCTTCTCAAAGACTTTGCCCAGTCCCTGTTCCCACTCTCCAGACACAACACCAGCACAAAGTTACCAAGGGCTGGTGGAAGCCCACAAGAAGAGCCACTTATTGCCCCAGTCCTATTTTGGGTTTCAATAGGACTTCAGGCTTTGTTTCAAGAGATGACCCAGTCATTCCTTTCCCTTTAACCTTCAGCCTCACCTAACACACAACTCTGAATTGTGCTGTGTTGCCACAGATCCAGCAAATGGCAGACAATGCTGCAGCAGAGATGGACAAGCTGCTGGCAGCCAAGACTAAGGAGCTGCTAGGATAAGAGCCATCCCTACAGACACTCCTCCCTCAAGCAAGAACTGGCTGCCACCACCCCAGGGGTCATCCCTGCCCAGAGTCACCAGCCTCAGCAATGGGCAGGGGTCTCTGCTGGACCTCCAGAGCAGCTCGGTGCTTTGGCTGCTCCAGTTCCTCATCTGGGATTGTACTGGAGGGAGGGGGGAACTCTCCTCACTGTTCCTCATCCAGGTGGCAACAGACTTGGGTGAATTAAGATTAAAAATAAAATAGCAGGAAGAAGGACTGGAGGCTGCTGGAAGTGCTCCCACACAGAAGCTGAGGCACAGGAGAATGGCTGCCCTGCTGGCCCCAGTCTGTGAACATCTCTGCACCTTGCAGCCCAGCAGAAGCAAGGACCACGTGCAAGAGGAACTTGTACCGTCCTGCTGCCAGCCTTGGCATTTATTTTTGCTTAAAATTAAGTCATAATGTGACATGGAGGAGCAGCCTTGGGACAACTTGTTCCTGGTTGATATGTCCCCTTGAGTTCACATGCCCTAGAACCAGCATCTGCTCTCCCTGTCCAGTTATGGCTACCCTGTGTGAGGCACCAGAGCCACAGTTTAGGGTCTGAGAAAGGCAGAAGCAGAACAGGGTGCTGAGCACACCGTGCACTCAGCTCCCCACTACCAGCAGGTACATGCCCAGAGCAGCAGAGGCTCCCCCAGCCCGGGTGGTGCTGCCCCCCCAGCCCCGCTCCCAGGGCGCTCGGGTTCAAAGAGCACCAAGTGCTCTGCAGTCCTTAAATAAACAACTCCCCAAAAGTTAGTTTGTGCGCAGTGGGGAGGGGGAGGAGGATGAAGGATTTGCTCTGCTAGGGCCCCACATGTCAACAATTTCTCTGCTTTGTGTATTTTGGCCAAAGTGCTCACCATGATAAATGAATAAAGGAAGATGGCGAGCCCAGGGCGGTCACATGGCTCAGTAAATTGCTTTCAGCTGATCACTGGGTTTCTTTTGACATTTATCAACTAGGCCTTTTTTGCTGTTGTCACAGCCTTGGCATCCCAGCCTCAGCATCCCAGTGACAGCCTGAGCTGGAGGGGCTGGAGGAAGTTCCCAAGTATTTGATGATATGATGCTCCTTCTCCTGCAGCATCTCACTACACCTCACATGAATTGAAGGCAAGTGGTAAAACTGCAGCAGGTTGGGGACAGAGCTGCCTGTCCCCAGCACAGCCAGGGGAGGTCCAGAGCTGGCCACACTGGTGAGGCAAAGCCAGGTGCAAAAATAGCTTTCAACTGAAGAAAGACAGAGAGACCTGCTCTCCAAGCAGCCACAGGCCTGGACCCTCCACAGGCACATCCCAGGTGCCAGCAGAGGCTGCTGTGACCCAGTAGAGAAGAAATTATAGACACTCACTGTGACCACAGCTGCTGGCACACACGGTGGCTCTGGACAGGTCCCACTTCATCCGGGGGAGGTCCAGAGCTGGCCACACTGGTGAGGCAAAGCCAGGTGCAAAAATAGCTTTCAACTGAAGAAAGACAGAGAGACCTGCTCTCCAAGCAGCCACAGGCCTGGACCCTCCACAGGCACATCCCAGGTGCCAGCAGAGGCTGCTGTGACCCAGTAGAGAAGAAATTATAGACACTCACTGTGACCACAGCTGCTGGCACACACGGTGGGTCTGGACAGGTCCCACTTCATCCCTTTGCACAGATCACACTGCTCTGGTGCCCCGTGCCAGGAGCTGCAGCACGAGGCCCATCTGCTCCAAAAGCTTCCTCCTCTGCACTGGCAGGAGCCTCTCACTTGGCTCCAGCCTGAGCCCGGAGCTGATAAGAAGCTGCAGCTGATGCTGTTGGCGGGTGGGGAAGGAGCTGCAGCTGTGCCTGGTGGGGGAGAGGGACCAAGGGCCAGAAAATGGCAGGGCTGGGTGTGACGTGAGTCTGATGTCTGCTATGTCACTGGCCTCAGCAACCAGTGTCACAGGGAGGTGTGGGGCAGGGTAGGGGGCTAGAGGGGGCCGTGCCCAGACCCCATGAGCTGTGCCCTGGGCTCTCTGCACCCTGGGACCCCTCACCCTATGGCACACATGGATTCAGGGCACCTCCAGGTTACCCCCGGGTTCCCCCCAGGCCAGCACTGCCATGGCCAGGTGGGTTGGGGATCCTGAGGCACAGGTGGTTGCCCTGTGCCCATCGCTGCTCATCACACCCTGGGCAGAGACCCCAGGGCTGATGCACTGGGCTCCCCCAGGACCCTTTGGTTTGCTCCAAGACCCCAAACCCAGGTGGGCACAACCAGGAGCTTGTGTCAGGGACTGGGACTGAGCCCCGGGAAATGCCAAGTGGAGGCGAAAGGAAGGAAGGAAAAACTGAGGAAGCTGGAAGCTCTCGACATAGTTAAAAACCAACATTGCTCTTCAAAATAGATGTGATTGCTCTCCTTGTGAGTCATCGAGCAGAGACACCAAGATTGCTTTGTGCCAGGGACGAGCCCGGGCGCTGATTGTGCCGCCCGCGCTGGTGTGAAACAGCCCAGGATGGCATGTCAGAGTTTACAGCTCGCATACATTTTCCACAGTGAGCTTTGCAAAATGTATCAATGTAATCTCTGCCTCCTATATTCCGTGTTGATTAGACACGATTTCTGGCTGGATTTTCAGAAAGCTCAAGTGCTTTTTTAATCACTACAGAAGCTCATTATTGCTTTCCAGTGACTCTTATGTCCTTCACTTCTCCTTTCAGATTAGAGTCTATAGTCAGATGAATATTGGATGATTTCATTACATACAAATGCAATCAACAGTTTTGCATAAATTTCTCCTCTTTTCTTGAGTTTCAATTGACCTCAGCACCCGTGGAGGCAGGCGCAATACACATGTAAATGAGCTGGCGTTGCTGCAAAGACACGGATGTGAGAAACAAGATAAACTGTCAGATAATATTCAGGATTTTTTAAGAGATCAAAAAATACTTCCATGTTCAGCTGAGCTGTAAAAAATGGCACCTTCAGCTGCCGGGGAATTTGATCTTGTTTTGCTCTGTGTCCGGCTCTGGACAAAGGCCAGGGGTGGCATCAGTGGCCGAGCTGAGGCTGGGCAGTGCCAGGATGGCAGTGTGGGGACAGGAGCAGGGGGTCCATGGGGTGGTGGCATCAAGCTCCTGCCATGGAGAAGCTGCTGGTGGGGCCTGGGCAGCCCACCATGCCCAGGAGGTGCCCCCTGTTCCGGGGACGTGCCCAGCGCAGCCCAGCACCTGCTGCAGAGCTGGCTTTGGTGGCTGAGTCCTCACTGATGGCAGGTACCTCCAGCTCCTGCTCTGGTGAGATCATCTCGACCAGGGGGTGCCAAGTTCAGACCCCCCTGGATCCCCTTCTCCTCCCAGGTGCCCCTGAGCTTCAGCCCCACGGCAGGGACACCTGCCCAGGCAGGGGGCTTGGCTGGAGGTTGCCCTCCTCACCAGGGCACAGGCAACCACACGTGCCAAATAAATTTAAACTAACACTCCATGCAAGCAATCAGGGCTAATTTAAACAAACTATAATTAAACATAAAGGACCTTTTGCTAGGGAAGTCAAGGAAAACTGTCTGCAATTACTTTGGATATGAAGCCCTTACCTTTAAAAGACTAATTTTTGTGCTAATGTGAGCAATCCAGCACTCCCACATTCACCTTTGGAGGCCAGGGAGGAAAGAAACTCCAACTCCTGGGTTTCTTTTGCTACCTTTACTTGCTAATCTTCTTAACAGATTTTTAATTAATAGGAACAGAGCACTTTGCAGCTGTGAAATCTATTGGTGTAATTGCCTGGTGGTTTAGTCCCATTAGCCACACAAATTACCTGTCTCCAGGCCGCCCATCCCACCGGGGAGCTCCCTGAGCTGGACACCCCGAGCAGCCCCATTCTGAAACAATTTTGATAAAATAAACTCTCTAATCAGGTAAATAATTCCATAAGGGAAATTGCTGCCTTCCCGCAGCCCCCTCCGCCGGGACCTGGCTACTTTCAGGGGAATGCAACACGCCTCCAATTACAGACAAACCTCCAGCTCAGAGGCTGTTTGGGAGAAGCCCACGGCACACGGGACCCCTGGAACTGCAGCGGCTGAGGAATTAAGGCATTTAAGCTGTCAGCCAGAATCTGGCCCAGCCCCTGATTACCTGGGGGGACACGCGGTGTATTTAGGTTCGTGTCCGTTGCAATTTCCTGGCCCCCAGCGTTGATCCTGAATGACTCGAGTCCATGTCAGGTTCCTGCCCAGGGTCTCTCCGACACGTGGCCCCGGGCTCGGGGACACTGACCTTTGGGCAATTAAAGACATCCAGGCTGGCCTGAGCCTGGAGAAGTGGAAACGTGCAGCTGCCCCGAAGAGCTGCCGGGGGAGCGGAGCTGCCGGTGCCCGTTCGTGGCTGTGCCGGCTGCCGTCACTGCTGGGGTGGGTGCCAAGAGCTTGGAGTCCCTTCCCAGCCCCATCCAGGGGTCTCCATGGGGGGATACGTTGTAATTTTGGACCTTAATCTGACGGGGAGACTCACTGCTTCCCTCTGCTCAGCCCCCAAGGTGGGGATGTGCTGCCCCAGACGTTTTCCTGGGCAGGTGGGTCAGTGGGACACACCTGTGGTGGGCACAGCAGGGCACAGGGCACCTGCACCATGTCACACGGTGATGTGCAGCCCTGACACACTTCCCACCCAGATGGCTCCAAACCTGCTGCACCAGCCAGGGCAGGTCTCCACCCTCAGCCTTGTTTTGGGAGCAGGGAGGAGGAGCCCCTGCCAGGGTCCCTGCCACACCATGCTGTGAGCTCGTGTGACAGTCTGGGAGGAGATGACCTGGGGGAATTAAACCCAGGCACTGCCACACTAGTGTCCAATGCTGTGCACGACCAGCCATGATGGGGACAGCCATGTGGTGGAGTGGCCTCCAAGCACCTCCTGAAACACTTGGGTGAGCAATCCCTGTGCTGGCCCGTGACACCAGGATGGAGGAGCCCAAAACACAGGTGGCACAGAGCTGCTCTTCCCCCTCTGACAGAGACCAAAACTCTCCCCCCTTGCCTGCCCCCATGGCTCCTGGCACAGGGAGCAGAGAGTGCAAACTGGTGG